ACTCTCACTCCTTCCTTTGAACCCAATGGTACCTGTCAGCCCTCCTAAAGTAAGTATTGAAAGAACCTGATGAGTCATTGTATGGATAGGAATCAGTATAGTATTTATCTACTACTAGTCATGGAAATGCTTATCCATATTTTGATAGCTGATGGATCAGATAACAAGATCTTTGCTTCAATGTATTTCTTTCCTGGAAATTTTACAAAAGCTAATCTTCCTCAAGCTAAAATATCAATCAGTAATATGAGTCCTTATCTTCAAATGAAGTATTCAGTAAGTTTATATAGCATTGTAGTATGTAGTCATTTCAACTAAATAATTTCTTGGTAATAATACATGTGTAGTTCAGTCTCCAATTTGATGTAGCTGCAGTTTATGTGATGTTGGATAGTGGAGTTTGGAAGGATATTTCAGGTGAGATTCTCTTTCACAAATTATTTGTTAATTCTATACTTCTTGATTGTACTGTCAGTGATAATGGGTTTTTAATGAATCCAAACAAAGTCTATAGCATGACATTTACATCTTCGACTGATATTTCTGCTGAAGATGCTACCAAGAACATACAAAGTATACTTTTATTAAAATTAATGATAAATGACAAGACATTGATCTTTTAGGTCACTGGTTGACACATATACAACTGACCTGTTTTAATTGACTGATGAAATAGAACTTAGAACTCACTGTATTTCAGAAGCTTTATTTGCCACTGCTTTTCAAAATTTGTATAGATAGTCTATTTATAAATTTATATATACATAATTGATAACCACCGCATTGCACAGCTGCCTGCACTCTGACTCTGCTGTCTTTCAATTTTCATTCATACACTAGAAGAATGTAAAACATTAAAGGGGCAAGCCTAAGCATGCAAGCTATAGTGCTGTAAATGTATGATCAAAGCAATTGCACATGCCTAAATACATCATAGTGCAGTACTGATAATGATGCAGTCATTATCTCTAACACTTCATCACTTAAAACTGCAGCAATTGCTTATAGCATTAAAGTATAAGATAGGTTAGAAGCTGTCACTGAGCAAAGAAGATTGTACATCACTACATTTGCTTTGTTAACCTAGGCTGCTGCTAGAGAAGAAACATCACCTAGGCTATAGACATTATGCATAGCTACAGCTAGACATGCAGCTTTCTCACTTGCATTCAACTTATCAAAGTCCTTTATATAAAAAAGAAAGTATGTATAACTGCTTTTGTAACCTTTTTCTTGCTAGAGAAGTCTTTGGACAGCAATTTAGTCTTATCTCAGACTTGTTGACCGTTTTTGCTGCAAATTGATAGCCGCCATTTTTATCATTCATTGTGACAGTCACCACACGGCTCCTGTACTGTATGTACTGTACAAACTCTTGATCTCGCTCAGGCTCGCCCCAATTATTGTTGACTTCGTTGTTTCAGTCAAGGACGAGGCTTCAGTATTACCTTTTCCTTCAATCTTCACTTCTTGTGGATATAACTCGGGATATAATTATCATGGCTACTGGCTGCATGGCCGCCGCCTCTACAAGGTTGCTGGAAAAATCGGGACACACATTGGGTCATTATTAAAGAGAGCCTGGGACAAAGATTCAGATGATAGTCAGGGGCTGAGGCTCTTAGTGACAGGAAAGACAGGAGAAAGAAAGTCCACACTAGTCAATGGACTACTGGGAGCAACTGTAGCTAAAGAGGGAGCTAGTGCTGGGAGATGCACAGCCACAGTTCAAGATTACAGAGCAGACCTTGAAGGTGTACCTGTCACTGTGTTTGATTCACCTGCAGGCTCACAAGACACCACAGGAAATGAAAATGACTACATAGCAGATATGAAGAAGAAATGTCAAGCACTCAGTTTAGTTCATTGCACAAAAATGACCAACAATCATTTGAAAGATGAAGATAGACATGCATTTGGACATAAGTTCTGGAAGTATGTTCTTCTTGTTCTTCTGTTTGCTAACAAAGAAGATTTGAAAAGAAGCAATGAAAGAGATGAAGATGAAGGGCCCAAGCTTGATGATGATGAGGAGAGCAGGAAAGCACCCATGCCGGAGAATATCAGGGAATATGCATGGGCACCGTGGCAGATTGCATCTTTAGTAAAGAGTGCCTGGGACAAAGATTTAGAGGATAGTCAGGGGCTGAGGCTCTTAGTGACGGGAAAGACAGGAGAAGGAAAGTCCACGCTTGTCAATGGACTACTGGGTGCCAAGGTTGCTGTTGAGGGAGCTGGTAGTGAAAAATGCACAGCCAAAGTTGAAGAGTACAAAGCAGACCTTAAAGGTGTTCCAGTCACTGTATTTGATTCACCTGGCCTGCAAGACGGCACAGAAATGGAAAATGAGTACCTGGAAGATATGAAGAAAAAATGTAAAACACTCAATTTGGTACTCTATTGTACAAGAATGACAAACAATCGTTTAAAAGAGGAAGACAAACATGCCATATTAAAGCTAACAGCTGCATTTGGGCAAAATTTCTGGAAGCATACTGTTCTTGTTCTTACATTTGCTAACCGTGAAGATGTGGAAAGAAGTGATGAAAGAGATAAAGATGAAGGGCCCGAGCCTGCCTATGCTGATGAGGAGAGCTGGAAAGAGCTTGGAAAGAAGAGATTTAAAGGTCGTCTGAAGAAATGGGAAGAAAGTTTTCACAAGTTTCTCATAAATGAGGTTGGCGTACAGGAAGATATAGTTGAAAGGATCCTTGTAGTACCAGCTGGAGACCACAGGGTAACAAGAAAAAATAAGGAACCCTACCGTCTTCCTGATCGTGATGATTGGTTTAAGGAATTGTGGCTGGCTTGCTCCGTACGAGTGAAGGGAATGAAATTCTTCCTTCAAATCAATAAAAGCAGAATTGTCGCTGAAGATGAAGTCGCAACTGGAGCTGAAGTGACTGCAAATGAAGAACCAGAGTCTGAAGAAGTAAATTATGATTGATAGAATATAAATTTTCATATAATTATACTTTAATTTCAAAGCTGAAACAATTATTGTTGTTGAAAGCAAATAAAAATATTCAAGCAATTATAACCAATTTTTTATTAATATGACTGTTTTTGAATAGGAGCGTCCTGATGTACAAGACATCACACTACAACTTACAGATACACCTTCAGTAGATGAGACATATACTCCAAAGCTTCAAGAAAACATAAAAAAGATGAATAAAGAAGCTTGGGTGAAGAGGCAAGAGGCACAGTTAAAGGAGAAAGAGGAAGAAATTAGAAAACAAAGAGAAGAAGTTGAGAGGCAACTTGCTAACAAAAAAGTTATTCTCACCGATAGTGATATAGAAAAAATAATCCTTGAGTCTCTTAAAAGGGCATTTGGAGAAACAGTTGCTGAAGCAGTTGCTGAAGCAGTTGCTGAAGCACTAGTTGCTAAAGTAGCTTGGAAATTTGGTACTAAACTTTTTAAATGGTTCATGTCATTGTTCTAGTTGACTGTTGTACACTGATACATTATACTAAATATTGTGTAACAGTTATACGGTTAATTTTTGAGTTTAATTATGAATGAACTGAGTCAAGTGAGCTGCATATCTCTGACTCTACATCCTTAATTGTGGCCTAGATATACCTTACAGTGTGACTAATTCTGGTTTAGATCTATCAGTATGCATGCAGTGAGAGAGATGGAAGCAAGCCAAGAAACCAATTTATTTTATAGTGTGTACTGTGCAGTGTAGAGTAACAGCAGGGCTTGCATAACATTATTTAATTCATTATAGGCGTGGCTAGTTAATCATGGAGTCTGATGTTAGAGCAAAGCGTCTAGAGACAGGAATGGATCCAATTAGTTATGTGGGTGGTTTTATATCTGTAATACGCATGCGCATTACTCCCTCATGGACAAAAATCACAATGGTTGCCACCAACTGAGTGTTTTTCATATTTCTAATGCTGTCTTTGTGGTTCCAGGCCTTTTTGCTAGTTGTTTGCATGAGTTGGATCACTGATTAGACTAATAGAACCTTGCACTAGGTAATTTATTCTCAGACTGCTATAAATTATGCCTTTTTATATACAGTTGTAATCACCTATACATATATATAGAATGTATCTTCTAATTATTCTTGTGTGAGGAAATGGGCTTTTTAGTCTTTCCTGGGTTATCATTTGTTCCTTCCACCACGATTACTCATTTCAGAACTGTAAGTAATATTTCTGTCAATTTAAGCTTCATTATGGGGAATATGAGGGATTTAATAGGAGGTTCATCACTCTGAGAATGCCCCAGGGTAGGGATTTTTCTCCAACAAGCCTATAGGAAGACTTCGCTAGTTTGACCAAGTTACGTTTCAAAATGCTAAATTTACCCAGCAGAGCTGAGTTCAGTAGCAGTTGAGTGGTTGTTTAACGTTCCTTAAATTTAGTAGGGGATTTGACTGAAGGGAACGGCCCCAGAGGTAGTGATTTAATTAATTAATTAATTTGAAACCCCAACTATGCCCCATTATGACCTGTACTGGGATAGTGGAGCTTGATATTGATAAGTACACGATAAATTTATTGTAAATGTCTGCTATTTTATATATTTATTTTTTATAGGCATTTTATACCTTGCCAGCAAATTGGATCACAAGAGGTTGCTCATGAGTTTTTGCTTACATGTGTAGTAGGAGACTAGGAGCTCAAGTAGCTACAAGGTTGAGCTGTAAGCTGTGTATAACTATAGACCACTAGCAGTAAAAATTGATTACATAGGAAGATTATTAGAAATTTTTACGGTTGTAAGGTGTGGTTTAGGATGAAATAAATTCAGCTGCCATTTTGGTTGACAACTTTTAATGGAGAACAAACGGGCTGGCATGAAAAAAAACCTGTATTGAGAATTCTGGGGCAAATTGGACCACATCTTTTGGAGAAGAAGCTTAAAGGCAGATCTTTTTTTCTTATAACAAGCACATTTTAGCTTTTAATAGAGGCATTTTCTTCTTGCATTCATTGCCGACTTCCTTAACAAACTTTCCAACGAAAATGACAGCCAATTATGACATGTGGGCAGATACCGTATATAAAATTAATGAAATTCATTTCCAATTCTCACTTCCAGTGGTCTATAATTAGTTTTTAAGTCAGTATAGTTTTTAAATTCGTAAATTTTTTATTCATGCATTAAATAATGCAAGCAATGACATATTCCACTTTTACAGTACTTCTGACTATTAAAGCTGTTAGTTTTGTAGTTTTGAATTTACATGTATGCTATTTTTATGATAATTAGAATGTCACGAAAAGCTATCAGTATTGTTCATGGTGGTGGACGAAACTCTGGATGCTATATTTGGAGATGTTGGTACTTAATAGAATAATTATTCATGAATTGATTTATTTTATTATGCTACTAATGTTTAGAATTGTACCTAGAAATTTCTTTAATTGTAGCTAGAAATGACTGTCGCCCAAAATTTCTGTGAATTTTACAGATTTTATTTTAGCAAAATTACCATGCCTTTCAATGTGTACTGATTTTAAAGGATTAAATTTTCACAAGTTTTCGAAATCTGCATAATTAGCAGAAATTTTGGGCCACAGAAATATCTAGCTCCATGTGTATGGCATTTGCAATGAAAGGTTTATTTTTAACTTATCTCTGTTAAACAGATAGCATTTCCCCAAGACTAGATATATTATCAACTCTTTATTTCCCTTGGCACTACTTAATGTGACACCAGTATATTTCCAGGTCAGTAAAAACTATAAAATTTGTTTTCGTTATCTGTAGAATGACATTCTTGTCAAATTATTTTTAGAGATGAAAATAGTCTACAAAGTTCTTTGTAAACATTAATGCAAAGTACATGTACTTTTTACATTTATTATTAATATTGTTTATTCCTTGTAGACTCAACAGAGTAACCTGAAATCAAATGTGTGGCTAAACAAGCATTTATTCATGTTTGAACTGTTTTTTTACATTTTTGTTTGAGTTATGAACATTATAAATTGAAGTACAATTTAGTCAATACTGCGCATGCGCAGATTACGCCCACGCAAATAATTGGATCCATTCCTGAATTTCCTGTCTTTAACGGCATTAGTGCTGGGCGATATTGAAAATTTTGAAACGATACGATATGATACGATATTGCCTAAAAATAAGGATATCGATATTTTTTATCGATAAGTTATTAAGCCACACCCATTAACTTTAATATTACTAAAATGGCTAAATAAAGCTATTTCTGAGAAGAATTATTATTGAAAAGCATTATAAAAACCTTCTTTGGCTTCATATACTTCAGCTACTTCATCTACTTTCCAAGAAAATACATTCTAGTAATTTTCGAGATGTTACTCCTATAGTTAATTAACCATTTATTAAGGTTATGTAACCATTTTCTGGGCGTGGCCTCGTTATCGATATTTTCTTCAAATTTTTTCGATATTGATAAGTATCGATACCGCATTATATTGATTAAATATCGTGAGTTTTGATATATCGCCCAGCACTAAACGGCATGTCTAAAGTAAAGGATGGTTAGCTGAAGGATTATCCAGTCAACTGCAGCTGCCAGTTGATAAAGGAGTAGTAGAGTTAGTTAATAAACTGGGGCAGTATTGTGTAGAATTATTCAGTAACTAATTCTAATTGATTTGAGCTGTAGATCTATATATATATTTGACTGTTCTCAGTTGATTATATACATATGCCTTATTTTTTATGGTTTAACCTGCATGCTTCAAATTTATAATTTTAATTATGTATATGCTGCCAAATATTTTATTGATTTTGTATTTTTATGATAATTATTGTCTTTTTATAAATTTAAAATTATCCAACAGGTATCTAGGTGCTATGGATACTAAGGCTGAAGTAGAAGACTACCTGGAGAGTCTTTTAGGTAAAAAG